GATGTGGGATTTTGGATGTTACATTATTCTTTCAATTCACCTACATCAAGAGCTTGGGGTGTGGAGCGAAAGTGAGTGGTGAAATGGGATTTTGGGCCTTAATACCCTTTCTTTCTAAAAAAGAAAGGCCTAACCTTAAAGCCACTATACCAGCCAATTAAAGTCCTAATCAAAGAATCTTTGAAGTTCTCTAATTTGAATATGAAATATCTAAAGGAAAAACAAGAAGAAAAAAAAAAAAAGTTAAAGAAGTGAGATTTGACATGAGGGCATGTGCTAATTACAGAAAGTCTCTTCTACGTTGAAGTGGTTCATGGGAAAGAAATAAGATCAATTTGTCAACCTCAGCATGGAAAGGGAGCTTTATTTTGTGTGTTGAGGAGTTAATGACATTTCTATTTGATGAGGAAGCATCAAGCAAATTTCCTTTCCACAAATTGACATTGTTACCCAAGCTCCAATTGTTTAGAAAGTGCGTAGAATTGTGTTGCAATTGTTCTAGTGTTCTGCCGAGTGAAGCAATTGAACGCAGAAAATTGTTCATGCAAAAATTTAGTGTTCATCCCGAGTAAGGTGTACTCAAATCCAAGTCTAAATTAATGGTAAAATTTTGCTCCCAAAAAATCTTGAAGTCGAAATTGATATTTATAAAACTGTTCCTTGGTTACATATTAAATTAAGATTAAATCCTAGATTTCGTAAGAATTTAAATGTGCAAGGCTTGGCTGGTAAAAGGGTGTCGTGGGAGGTAAACTTGCAGCTCGCACATCGAAGGAATTTCAAGAAAAAAATTGTTTAGTGGAGGCCACGGATAAAACAAGGGTAATAGGTAATTGTGGGCTAATTAAAATGGCTAAGTGATTAAATATTGGTTCAATGTCAATTTTAAGTTCTTTAACTTTAAAGTTTTATATAGTTTTTCATTTCTTAATTTTTATTTTTGTATTTTTTCTCATTTTTTAATTTTAAAAAATACATATTTTTTTGTTATTTTATTAGTTAGTTTGTTAAATTTCTCTAAACGTACACATTTTTAATCATAAACTTATAATATATACATATTTTTAGTCTATAAACTTGTAAGTTTATAAATTAAAAAAGTTTATATATAAATAGAGTTAATGGATTAATTGATAGAGAAATAAAAAAGTATTTAAAATAGTTGAGGGATGAACATTGTTTAAAACCTTAAAGTTGAGAGACAAAAACTATTCAACCTTTAATTGATTCAACTAAAAAGTTAATAAAAAGAGATAAATAAATGTGGCTAATAATTAAAAGAAGTTGATAAAATATTCATGTAAAACAATATTATTATGGAATATGATGTGTCATGGGTCCTATTATAGCCAAATTGGAAAAAAGAATAATACAGAAATATATGTTAAATGCTAAACTGTTAGGCTTTAACAGTAAAAAGTGAGGATGTTAGGCATGGAATGGATGGAGGGACGAAATTGCTCACGTTTTGAATAGTGGAGGGAGGACATGTGAGCTCAAAATGA